TCCCCACAGCCTCTTGCTGCTGCCTGACAAACCAGTCCCAGGCTCTTTGCAGACTGGGCTACCAGGTGATGCTGATGTGAATGCTGCACCTGCCTAGTGGTTAGAGCAAGCAGACTATCAGGCTTCTGGGCTCTAGTCCCAGCTCTGCCATGGACTCACTCTATGACCGTGGGCAAGTCATTTCCCCCTAGTTGGGCCTCAGTTTCCCCCGCTCTGTAACAGGCAGGGTTCTGTGAGGCTCGGTCAATGAGCCAGGGAACCCACTTGGGGAAGACACGCTGGAGAAAAATCAAGAGTTTACGTTCCGCAGGCACAGCTCAGGGTCGCCCCACTTTCTCTTTTCACAGCGATACCAGGCTGTGGCAGGACCCGCCAGGGCCCTGGGGCATTTCCAGAGCACGTGGACACTTAGCAGCCAATTTGCGGGATTTAAGAACTATCAAGGAGCTACTTCCCAGCCCCCCCTTTCCAGGCTGTCGGGGTCTCTGGATTCTTTTCGGCCATTCCCAGAGAGGCTGCAAAGGGGAGCCTAGAGACTGGGAGAAGTGGACTCAGTCCAGCTCCCTGTTGGGCTCCGGAGCAGGCCAATGGCTTCTCGAAGGGCTGCGCCCCGCCCAGCCACAACTGGTTTCTGGGGTGCGTGGTGCTCAGCCCCCTCTAGCTGTGCCCAGGCTTGGCTGTTGGGCTCAGGCAGGGGCGGCAGGTATCATAGGCAGGGGAAGGCGTTGCCTTCCCAAACCACCAGCCTGGCCCCGCTGTCAGCGTCCTGGGGGCGGAGTGTTGCAGCCCCAGAGCGCCCGCCCTCCCCATGCTCCAGGGCCGAGGCAGCTGGGGCCACGCACTGCCCTGCCTCCCTGTGGTGCTGGGGGCACGGCTTGGCTCCTGTGGGGGGCGGGGCTTGGGCAAAAGGGGCGGAGCTGGGGGCTTGCCTCCCCCAGCCCTACCTTCACCCACCACCCACAGGCTCAGGAAGTGCCAACTGACTGCACACACACACACACACACACACACACACACACACACACACACACACACACACACACAACTAGTGCACCCACGCAGGGACATAAGGATGGTCACTGAACCCTATTACCACCGCTCTAGCAAGACAGGCAGCAGCCCTTTGGTGCCTCCTGGTTGCCAGGGCAACATGGCTCCTAGCTGTACATTTGCTAGGTCTCTGTCCAGTTTTGTTTACATCCTCCCAAAGCTTTGTTGCTCCCCCTCTGCACCCCCACGGAGATGATGCCACAGCCGGATCCGGTCTCCGTTTCCCCACTGTCCTGGGGTGTAGTCTCTCCTAGCAGCCTCGGGACTTTCCCCTCCTTGTAGCAATCACTTTTCACGTGGTTGGCTCCTAGCTGTACATTTGCTAGGTCTCTGTCCAGTTTTGTTTACATCCTCCCAAAGCTTTGTTGCTCCCCCTCTGCACCCCCACGGAGATGATGCCACAGCCGGATCCGGTCTCCGTTTCCCCACTGTCCTGGGGTGTAGTCTCTCCTAGCAGCCTCGGGACTTTCCCCTCCTTGTAGCAATCACTTTTCACGTGGTGGGCCC